GCTACTGCTTATGTTAGCTTTTAATATACGGTTTTATCTTGATTAAAGCTTTAATACAGTACGGCAACTGCACGCTTATGCAGGCCATGTTTAACGCTTCTCATAGCTATGTGAAAATAAGTGTGTAAATGGAACAGAGCTGAGCTGATGATCTGAATGCAAGAGAGAGAGATGCAGAGTGTGTGCAGAGCAGGGGGACGCGAGGAACAGTATTGAGAACTGCTGCTTTTGAAACTTGTGAATCCATTAGAATCGTTAGAAGGCAGAATCGCAATTCATATATGAATCGATTATTTTGACGTGCACCCCTAGTTTTCGCTTCCTCTTTTCTAAAGCAGCGCAGCATGGCCTCACCCCCTTTGCTGCCTTCTCCGAGGTCAGGGTTTATCTGGGTTTGTTACATCACAAACCCGGGAAGTAACTCATTGTAGTCCCTACCAGCCATTTTTGTAGGCATTAAACTGCCGGAATTTTAAAAGACGATATCTCCGTTTGCATTGAACTTTCAGCTTCGTAACTTTGCAGATATTGTTTATGCTCAAACAGCAACATTAGACACTAACTAACGTTAAAAAATTTAAATCGCAATGAACCACCCCTCTAAATGACCGTAAAGAGCTTGGAGAAAATAGGATGTGTGTCAGATCCGCGTCATCAGGTTTTAAAGAGACTGCGCTGCTTTTAAAGTAAAACCCGCTAAAGTCTGTCATTGATGTAAATCAAAGAACAAAAGAAAAAGAGAAATCACTGGACTGCTCTAGTCGCTGATTAATAAAGTTTAATCTGTATAGTTTATGCATATACAATTTATAGTTTATGTGAAGATTGAAATATTAAGTGATTTTAAAACAGAGTATGTTAAAAAATAATGGCTTTCAATTATACTGTAATGTTGAATGGCTATAATTAATAGGTAAAATTGAGGGAAAATGCATTTAATAGAGACACCAGTAGCAGTATTGGTTTCAATCCTTCATTAATAATAGGCTACTTAGTAAAAAGATGGCATTAAAAACATATTTAAAATATACTATCTTTATGTTGTTTCTACATTAATTTGGAGGCTCAATGTGAAATTATGATAATATAAATGTGATTAATCATGATTAATTACAAAAACACTTGATTTTTTTTTTTTAATCGATTGACAAAGCACTAATGTTAACCTTTTATAGATTTTAGATTTCAATTTAAATTCTAATTGTATAGGTCCCCCCAGAAAGAGATCGGGATGGCCCCCACCCCCTTGGCCCCCTTCAAATTTTTCTTTCAGTTTGATAATCCGGCCCTCAGATGAAGCTAATTGAATAGCCCTGCTCTAGTCCGTTAACATGGGTGCAGAAAAAATATGCACCACATACGCACTGCAAACTGAGTATGTGTGAAACAGGTGTAACATATATAAGGGTTGTGACGGTGAAGAAATTTTCCCACCGGTATCACCGCGGGGGCGTTCCCTCTTTTCCTAGCTTTCCTTCGCTTTTCAATAGCTTGTAAAAGCTGCGTGCGCATTATACTTTCACTTTCAAATAGCAGCAATTCGGCGTAAAGCAATTGTTCGTTTTTAGTTTGTTTGAATTTTCCCTCTTTTCCTTGCTTTCCTTTGCAGGTCCCCCCAGAAAGAGATCGGGATGGCCCCCACCCCCTTGGCCCCCTTCAAATTTTTCTTTCAGTTTGATAATCCGGCCCTCAGATGAAGCTAATTGAATAGCCCTGCTCTAGTCCGTTAACATGGGTGCAGAAAAAATATGCACCACATACGCACTGCAAACTGAGTATGTGTGAAACAGGTGTAACACGATGGCCTGCTCCGTTTGGCGAAAACATGCAAAGGACAAGAAACTCATGTGGACAAAAAAACAAACAAAAGATAAATCAATAAATCTGTTTGTTTTTTCTTTTAAGTAAAGTAAAGGACAAATTAAAAACATTGTAAATATGTTTAGTCATTGTCGTAGTAAAGACTGCCTGTTTTTGCAAAAAGAGTTTCATGGCCGATAAAAAAAAAAAATATTTTGGCCGGTAAATGATCACGTCACCGGCCATTGGCAGGTGTGGCAAAAAGTTAGTTTTAGGCCATGTGTGTGTGTACACACACACACACACACACACACACACAAGTGAGCCCACTCCCACTAGTATTTATAAATATTAAGCCGCAAAACGATTCATATTTAAATATGAATTCTGCGTGTTAATGTATGGCGCAGACGCGCGGTTTTGTGTAGTACTCGAACTGAAACGCGCGTGAAGCTTCCGGTGATATTAACCTCTGCCGTCTCACTAATGAGGACATAAATACATGAACATCTCCAGAACTGCTCTGAGAGTCACTTCATCAGCATTTGACCGTTTCATTTCAGTAAAACTATCATCATGTCATACACACACAGAAAAGTAAAGGTATTCACGGCAACCCGTCAAAATAAAAGTTCGGTTTAACTTGAGGGCATTGTGGCAGAAATGTATTACTATTGTTCAGTAGAATGTACGTAACAGACTGCTACTACTACTACTAAAATGATTAAAACCTTATTTTTAAGGAATAAGCATTCAATATTTATTCAATGTTTTAATTGTAATATTAAATGACCTTTATTTTCCAAAAAAAAAATTGTTGAATTTTCATTACTTAAAAGATAGATTAAATGAATGTTTTATGCCTTAAAACAAAATGTAAATACACAACACAGAATTTCTGAGCAAAAAAATCATAAGGCTATTGTAAGAATAAATGAAACTTGTTTTATGCTTTCAAATAATTAGACATGCTAAAACAGAATTTGGTTAATATAAAACATAAGGTTGGAAAAATAAAACATTTCATAGGGCCCTAAACATGTAATATTTGTTACACTTTTAATAAATTGATGTTAAATTGTTTAAGTTTCATTATTTTAATTAATTAGACATGCTTTTTGATTAATAACATGTAACTTAACCAGTAAAAAGGAGCCCAGAAAAAAACAAGGAAAATAAAAATAAAAAGGACCAAATGCTTATTTTACCGAGGAATGTACCAATTAATTCTTTAAAAATCAATTAAAATGTGATTTTCTGGATTTTTTTTCTCATTTTGTCTCTCATAGTTGAGGTATACCTATGATGAAAATTACAGGCCTCTCTCATCTTTTTAAGTGGGAGAACTTGCACAATTGGTGGCTGACCAAATACTTTTTTGCCCCACTGTATATATATATATATATGTGTGTGTGTGTGTGTGAAGTTGAAGTACTAAAATTACTAAAACTAAATAGCTAAATAGAAACATGTAAAAAAATATATAATAGAAATGACAAACACAAAATCACTAAAACTAGAATTAACTGGAAATATAAAAGTCAAGCTAATTCAAAAGAATTTATAAATACTATAATAGTATATACATAACACTAAAATAACACTTTTTTCAGCTCTTGAGTCACTGTTTAAATAGCATCAAAACTCTGCTGTTAGTTCACATGAAGAAGCCCTTCAAAGACAATTTTTGTATTAATTAAAAAAATTAAGAGATTAATCTATTAAATACAACCTGATATGACTTTTCTTCGTGCATTTAAAAGCAATATTCTGTGTAGGCATATATGTTCAGGGTGACCGTTTGTCATTCTGCTAAACATCCCTTTTGTGACTTTCACAGAAGAAAGTAGTACGGGTTTGGAACAACATGAGGGTGAGTAAATTACAGATTTTTTTTTATTAACTATCACATACTGAATAACACACCTTGGTCTTCCAGGCTCTTCTGGTGAACAGGGCTGGATGGCACAGAGTTCGAGCTCTCCGATGACGTGTCCCCATACTGGTCCCTTCCTGTGTCTAGAAACCAAAGGACAGAAGAAAACACAGCTGTAGTTCACTGTAAGGGAGTCGTACATGCATGCGGGATGTATTTGGAGATGCACAGATATCAAAAATGATTGCTTTGTTGCTTTTTAACCATGGGACAAAGACCTTTGCAAGCTCCCTGGTTGATCATCAGTGCTGCAGAAGGTTTCTGAATTCCATTAGAAGTCTTGACACCTGTAACTCGTCTGCCTCTCTCCCTGAAAACATAGAACAGCAGCTGTGAACCATAAGCCCAACCCAATGCATCAGTGAGTATGCATTTTAAAATATTGTCTCAGTTCAGACACAAAAACCAGGACAACATTTGACTCTGCACCCATTTAGAGACAAACCAAACACAGTAGCGGGTGTTTGTGTACCTTTTTCCAGCTGATATTGCTTTGTTCTTCTGTCCAGCCGTGAAGACTCTTCTGTCATTTGTGGAGCTCTGCAGGCAGACAGAATGCGAATGTGTCTAACATGCCTCAAAACAATGACCAACTATACTGTATTTTTTTTAAATAGTATGGACAATAGTTCACACAATGAAGTAGTATGCTACAGTGTTGTCAAATTAGTTCATTAGGTTGCATGTTTAATTCAGTGAGTGGCACCCTGTCTTCCTTTTAAAAATAAAAATGGTTAATACACATTTTTTAATCCAATTCTGTATAAAAAATTTTTTTTTAAAAACTCAGAACTTTTGACAGTACAATCCAACAGTGAAACAAGAATTTGATGGGGAATTACTTTCTGGTTCATTCATTACTAACTCATAGTAAAGGATGTTCAAGCACAGTGAATTGTGGTATACAGTATTTATTTCTTTATAGACAGTATGCATTAAAAATTGCACAGTGTGCGCACAGTTTTCATACTGCAGAAGCACTATCAGTCGTATGCCATTCCAAGAATACCAAAGAGCGAGAAACAATTTCACAGCCTCACCTGTTCCAATTCAGTTTCTTTCTTCCAAACTCTCTCTCCGTTCTGCTCACGGTTTCCGGTCCTCTGGCATTCAGAGCGCTGACTACTACAGGGAGAAGAAGACAGATTATGTGACAGGAGATGGCCGTAAACATGGTTTACTCTAATATCAGCTCTGTCCTGTAAGGATCAGTAATCACACACAGCAGCCTCAAGTATTTGGACACTTAAACCACACTTAACGAATACCATTGCATTAAATAAAATATCAAACCAAGTTGCATTTATTTTAAAGAAAGATTACATAAGTACACTTTACAAGTAAAACATACAAAAAGTTGAAAAGAACAGCATTTGTTTGAAATGGAACCCTTTTGTAACATTATAAATGTCTTTACTGTCACTTTTGATCATTTTAATGCATCCTTGCTGAATAAAAATATATTTGTTCAGTGAAGGTCTACCTCTGTCCCGCAGCTCTGACGCTGTAAGCCTCCACATCTGTACAAGAGAAAAAGGCACAGATGAGACTAGCATCAGTACCGCATTAGCACTTGTATGCATGCTGGCATGTGTTTCTAGAGCAGATCTGACAGGTCTGTATCTCTCTCACCCTCCTCCAGGCTGGAAGTCTCGGAGCAGTCCTCAGAGAAACCACGTTCAGGCTGATGGATTCTAGTTACGGGCGCACTGGTACCTGCAGAGATGAGCAGATGGGCAAGTATTACATAGAGGAATCATGCTTGGTCTATTAATATGCTGATATTTGGTCATTTTAAGATTAGTCATCAACTGATAATGGTTTTCTGATTGGCCAGTCAGACGGATGCTCACAGTGGCTGCATGGCCGTACAGACGCATCAGACAGGAAGAACCTGGAAACGTCACATCTCTGAAGGACATCCTGTGATAAAGACAGGAACTTCTCCCTGCAAAGGAACAAGAGAGAGAGAAGTTAAAGGTATTGAAACACAGTCACTGATGTTTTATTTTCAAAATCTGTGACCACATCTAAACTGTGCTACAGGAAGTAGAATCCCCTCTGGTCCCGACATCAGTGTTACTGACCTAAATTCTGCCATGTGTTGTGGGACTTGAAAAGGACACTGAGTTTTATGTGACAACAACAAAACAAACATGGCCGTACAGACGCATCAGACAGGAAGAACCTGGAAACGTCACATCTCTGAAGGACATCCTGTGATAAAGACAGGAACTTCTCCCTGCAAAGGAACAAGAGAGAGAGAAGTTAAAGGTATTAAAACACATGTTTTATTTTCAAAATCTGTGACCACATCTAAACTGTGCTACAGGAAGTAGAATCCCCTCTGGTCCCGACATCAGTGTTACTGACCTAAATTCTGCCATGTGTTGTGGGACTTGAAAAGGACACTGAGTTTTATGTGACAACAACAAAACAAACAAAAAAAATGTTTAACACAATTCCCTTTGACAATTTAGAGACAGACTTGATCCAGATCTTTCAGTCTCTGAAGAATTAAAAACCATCTGCCTAATGCTATATGATTTGAACATCTCTAGTCAGGAGACAGTTCTGAATAGGTTTAGGTTAGCAGTTGTAATCTTCTCCATGTCCACCTCATGCAAAGTAATAAAACTAATGTACTTGTATGTATTGTTTTAAAATATGCTAGTTATGGTCATGGCTCAATGTTGTTTTTGGTTTAGCACAGAGCCTTTCAGATTCAGATTGAGGAATTGCACTGAAATGTATGCTTCCAGCACAACTGCATTTATCCCATGACACAGTTGCAAGCAAAGACTATAATGTGATTATAATGGCAGCGAATAGAGCATTAAATTGAACAAATACACATGCAAGCCATACACAGCATTGCATTCTGGAAAAGAGAGAACCTAAGTGACTTAAATCTGAGAAAAAGGAATGCAAAAGTAAGGAGTAACACACTTATGCAAGATTACTTTTACAAATAATATTTCTCAACACTAGTTATGAGTGAGATGAGATTTACCTGAGGTTTCTCTCCAGTTCTCTGGATTCATATTGATCTCCACGACTGAGTAATCTGATGATGCCCTTCTCAAAGCCATCAGGGCTCTGCTCCTTAGGAAGCTAGAGGGACAGAGGGATCATTTTCAAGTTAAATTCAATACAGCATATGTTCTGGTGATAAAAATGCCACTAAGGCATACTAAACTGAAAGAAAGAGTGAAAAGGCAGTTTGGAATGGCACACCTTCCATACTAAATTTGCAGAAATATGAATAGTATGAGAATTATCTGAATGCACAGAATACTCAGATGATCCAACTAGCTATATTAGACAAAATGTGCAGTGCACAACTAAACCACACTGTGGAAAACTGAATCCTAAAATGCAATGCACCCAATTTGACCTTCCATTTCCAGTGTAATGAATGTTTGTAATGAAAGAAACGCTTTCTTGATACATTCATGTCTTTTTCAAACTAAATTTTAAACGAAAAACACAAAATAACTTTCCAAAATGATAACAGGACGGCACTCGCTAAAATAAACTTGCTAAGATCATGTGACAATCTGCCATACTGAAACATTTCTTTGCATAATACATACTGTTTTCCACACTATTTTTAGAGATATAGTATGCCATAATGCTTGATTTTTAACTAAAACTAAACTGTTATAAAGGTGTAGAAATTGTAAAACATTAATCGAAATAAAGCTACAATTTTCAAAACTCATTTTAGACCCGGTTCACACGAATGCGGTTATTTTTAAAACCGCAGCTTTTTCTACATGGTTAGGCCGTTCGTCACACGCAAACGCAGCACCAGGTCACTGAAACTAAACATTTTTTAAAACGCCTGCCAGGGTGAAGATTTTCAAAAACTCCGGTTGCAGTGTCATCGTGTAGACAGTGAAACCGGAGTTTTTGGCTTGTGACGTCGGAGCCTGCGCTGTTATCTCCGCCTACTGGAAACTTTTTCAGGCTTCTGATTGGCCAACATGGCTTTACGGTTGAGATTATATCGCCACCTGTTGGCTTGGCATGCTCTTGACAGTGCTTCATAGCATGCGTTTGCATTTTCATGTGGACGAAGATTTTTTTTTAAACAGGAGGAAAAACTCAGTTTATAAAAATACCCGTGTACGTGTGGACATGGCCTTAATCTAATATTTATGTATTCATGCAAAAAAAAAAAAAAAAAAAAAAAAACCTTTTCCGAAAAAAAAAATTTTCCTTTTGTTAACAATTATAGTATGCCATAATGCTTGATTTTTAACTAAAACTAAACTGTTATAAAGGTGTAGAAATTGTAAAACATTAATCGAAATAAAGCTACAATTTTCAAAACTCATTTTAGACCCGGTTCACACGAATGCGGTTATTTTTAAAACCGCAGCTTTTTCTACATGGTTAGGCCGTTCGTCACACGCAAACGCAGCACCAGGTCACTGAAACTAAACATTTTTTAAAACGCCTGCCAGGGTGAAGATTTTCAAAAACTCCGGTTGCAGTGTCATCGTGTAGACAGTGAAACCGGAGTTTTTGGCTTGTGACGTCGGAGCCTGCGCTGTTATCTCCGCCTACTGGAAACTTTTTCAGGCTTCTGATTGGCCAACATGGCTTTACGGTTGAGATTATATCGCCACCTGTTGGCTTGGCATGCTCTTGACAGTGCTTCATAGCATGCGTTTGCATTTTCATGTGGACGAAGATTTTTTTTTAAACAGGAGGAAAAACTCAGTTTATAAAAATACCCGTGTACGTGTGGACATGGCCTTATTTAAAATTTTTTTTTTAAAAAAAAAAAAAAAAAAAAAAAAAAAAAACCTTGACCGAAATAAGAAATGTTGCCTTGGCTAATAATTGAAATGGAATAAGCTCAAGCACTAAAATTACTAAACCTGAAATATAAATAACACCAAATTGAAATATTAAAAATAAAAATAAGCACATAAAATAAAGCTAAAATTGAAATGAATACTGAAAATATAACAAAAGTCTATTTAAAAAAAAGATTAATACTGTAATAGTATAAAAATGACATAAAATAAAAATGACAAATAAAAGTGAAGTATATACAGTTTAGTATTCAGAATGCCAGTATTCCATTACGAACACAGCCAGAGAGAGGGAAAATAGAAATAGAAACAAATGGATAATGTCCCTCGCTGGTCTGACTAGGTGGCATCTTGCCCAACTGGTGGGCACACTGGCATATGCTACAGACCCACGTGACTGAACATATACAAATACCACACCAAAGACCTACATCTCTCTGCTCACCTTTAATAGAAAATCCTCCAACTCACGATGACTTTTGGTGACAACAGTGGATGAAGAGTCCGACCATTTCACCTGCAAAAGAAGAGAAACTCAATGAGAATAGACCAGTATTGCTCTCATCAATCTGAGCATAACGGATCTTTTACTTGGATTCCCCAGAGCTCATCATATTTCACTCAGACATGAAAAATTGTGCTTGTCCTTTTGCCACAGATGCCTTAACATGGATTTCTTCACATGTCCTCGGTCAAATATTCCAACAGTTTGGGTTCCAGAAATGACATTACAGCAAGAGAAGAACATTTGAGGTCTTCGACTATTAGCTCATTTTCAAAGATTACGACGTGTTCGGTAAATAAAATATCCCAATGGAATCTCCCTTTGAAATCTTGGCATACCTGAAATATTTAAACCAGCCCAAATAAAGACAATGACATCAGAATGGGGCGTACGCCCAGAATCAGTTTTTCGCCAAACTGGGTCATTGCACTATTTTTTTTACACTTAAGCATTTCAACCACAAGAGTTCACTTGGTTTAAATTAAGCCCATTGCGCGGAGTAAATATTTTAGCCTTAACAAGGGCTGGCACGCGGTTCCGTCTGCTTCTCTAGTGAATACTGATGTCTTAATCGTAGGGTTTAGCGAGACACAGGTGGTCAGGGTTCAGTGTTAAGCCTAGGAAAGGGTGGAGAATCTGTCTTCCAGTGACGCAAGGGGATTTCTGATTGGGATGCAACTCGCATTAAGATGGAATACAAGACGGACAGAGAAAAGATAGTGGCTCAAATTTGGCCGAGAACAGAATGCTTTCATTTTCCTTCCATTCTTTCAATCTTGTTTTGATGAGAATGGATTGGACTCGGCAGAATAACGCCACGTACACTAATCGGGTACGATGGTGCACGAATCACAGCATCTAATGATTTTATGTTCACACTGAGAACATTTCATGTTTAATAATGTGCAACAGCATTCATTTATGCGGTTTATGACGACAACAAACAACAGTGACAGTGATTGTGGATTTAAACACTTAAATCTCTCTCAGCACAGATTTCTATCTTAATATATCCTGGGGAGAGCAGAGTGAAAGACTCATCATGTCCTCACGGGTGTCCCCAATATGTCTCCTTCCCACTTCAGCCTCCAAACAACCTTTAGGTCATGAAAACTGAATAACAGCACAACAGACAGGCTGTTATGGAGATTTAGTTTTTGATATTTAAAAAAAACTAAGTTGACACTTTTAGACTGTATAAAAATAGTTGTATGGCTTTCCTTCTACAAACCCTCTTATTCATTAACGGTTATACATATACAGTTTCACTCGGAAATACGTCACGATATTGAAGTACAATGGGTTGTGAATGCAATTGTGTTGACTAAATAAACCATTTATTCAAACTACAAATGCCAGAACTATCAATTTGTCACTTATCGAAGACGTCAGACAATTGCAGTACAGCCCAAACAGTACATGCTACTTGCAAAACATTATGAGATAATCATCTTGCTTTCCTCAGCTTCATATTTTGCTTGGTATACTCTAATGCATTTTAAAGGATATTTATCATGCCAGGACCCAGCTTTTGTGATAAAACTGTATTGCAGGGTCATTTTCACCCCTGATACATTAGGCAAAGGAAAAGAAAAGCACTTCTCTCAGTCAGGCCTCTCTCTCTCTCGCTCCGACTGTTTTGGCACTGGTCCATACTCTCACTGTGAGCTGAGCCAAAGCCTCTTTGGTGAGGCTGTCAACGCTGTATCAACAACCGGATGTTTACAGCTCAGACTTTGCATGTTTCCTCACTTGTCCCAGAGAGACAGAAATCTCATGTACACAATCGAGAGCATAGCTCGGCCTTCAGGACACATCTGGAACCACAGAGGCTGAGTGCACGTAAATTTTTAGCTCTTTTTAACATCATGAATAATGCAAAGCGTGCATGCAAATCTGAAACAACAGCTTCTACTAAGACATTAACTGTGAATTTATTCACACCGTGCCTACACAACATTAATGTCCTTTTTAACCAGCAACTTAAGCACAAATAAAACAAATTGTTTTAAAGTCAAACTTTACTGCGCACTTCAGAGTGGAACACAATATTCAATGAGAAGAAGAAAATAAAAAGTAGTGTAGGACTTGATTTTATCCATCGGGAATTGACTGTATCGTGGGTGTTAACATACCAGAATGGAGCCAGGCGGGTTTCTTTGGAATAACATGCACAATAACACCAAGAATGGGGTCCAGTTTGATTTCATGTTGAATTTAATCTCTTCCATAGTGATCCAAGCCAATATCATTATACAGCTATATATTGAATTTCCATAGTTCCATAGTGATCCAAGCCAATATCATTATACAGCTATATATATATATATATATATATATATATAGACACACACACACACACACACACACACACACATACAGTAGTCAACATTTGAAGTGGATCAAAACCTTTCATCCAAAAACAATACCCGTTTTTACCCGTTCTTGTCTTAGGACAACTTTGATGAACTTCTTTGATCCACTTCAAATGTTGACTACTGTATATATTTGAATATTAATCAAATATTTTTATGAATTATTACAAATCTATCATATTTAGCAATTTTACGTGGGGAAAATGTTTTGAATAGCTCTAAATACTACTTTAATTGGTAGCTGCAATTAGCAAATTAGCCTTTAATTCAAATGTATTAAAATACAGTCATTCGAATTCTGTGGAAATCTGTAAACACAGATTCTGTGCAGACCTACCAACTGGCAAGCTAACAATAGTGACCAGTTCTGATTTTGACATAGCTGTGTAGAGTACCCCAACATTTTCTTATCTTGCTTTCTTAGGAGACTCTTTCTTACCGGCATGACATACAACTGGGTACATTTCATTCTAAATCCTTTTCCACAATCCTGGAGCTCTCTGATCTTCTTTTAGATGAAATGTCAGTGTTGAAACTCTGCTGTCTCGGAGGGGTTTTTGAACTTACCTCAAAACTGTACTGCCTGCCGTCTTCTCCCATAGAAACCTCCTTCAGAATGATCTTCTCAATGTGCACCACTGCAACATCAAAGGACATTATGGTTACAGTGTTGCAACACTAGTTTTTTTTTCTATGTGCTGAAAGGATTTACAACATGGGAAGGCGAGTTACCTTCCCTCTGCGACGTGCTGTTGAGGTGTGGATTGGCATTGCTGCAAATAGTCCAGTCTACGTCATTCTCCCGGTGTGGACAGAGGAACCCTGGCCTGGAAAACTGGCTCTGTGATGGCCAAAGAAAAATAAGTTGTTAAAAAGGTGCGTAAACTCATCAATTTTCATCATCAGAGTCTCTGATAAGGAAAATAATGAATGTATATTTTAATTGCAAGCTAACAATATACTGCATATGGGTTTATATGACTTTTTAAATGGCCAATACCGATCTAATAGTCATCAGGATGGCCAAAACAATGCCATTGCAAGACATTTCATTATACATAATCTGAGAGGGAACAACTGATCTAGAAACCGGACATTCACCTAGTGGACGGGTTTCCAACTGTGAGGCGTAAATCAGAGCACTGCATCTGAGGCATGACACTTACAATCAAACCAAATCAAAACTATTCACATTCAGTCATTCAAAATGTGTCAATTAATTTGACTGAACCAACGGATCCCCCGTTTCTACTTGTTTTAAAGCAATTGAGCACAATGCCTCAGCTTACATGACTACAACTCATCACCATCATTTAAACCATTAACATCACTCTCAACTTGACATCAGCAACAAACAACAGACATTCATAAACAGACAGAGAATGTAGTTTTGGAGACCTGATTCGGTCTAATGAGTGTGGACGCCCCATGTGACGAAAAGGCCTCATTTACAAATTGCAAAGCCCACAATAAAGTCATTCACATGGAGATCAAAAGAGATCAGGGAGGATAGCATTGGACACACATAACATGAACCACAAGCCTACAAGACACAGATGAATGTAGCAAAGCAAACGTGCCATCATGTGGTTGTACTGGATTAAAGAGTTTGGATATTTGACATGGCATCTTCCTATTTAGAGTTTTGCTGACACCTATAACTTGCATTGGATATCCAGGCATGCAATGGCACTTTTTTTGTAAGGTCTGTGTTCCTAGAATATATATTTTTTTAATGGTGATGAATATATTAGACCACAGTATTTGCCAGGATTTTCCCTGTCATGGGATGGCTTAAAAGACTGATCATATTGACAGCTGTCAATCATCTGACATGAGCACATGAATTCTGCAGATGTCTGATACACCTCTGGCCAAGTCAAAAATAATTAAGTTGTTAAAAATTCTAAAATGAATCCTATTGGACTTTTTGGAACCAATCCTAGAAGAAATTTTCAGCTTAACTAATCAAAACAGGATATTTTAAAGGGGTCATATGATGCGATTTAAATTTTTCCTTTCTCTTTGGAGTGTTACAATCTCTTGGTGCATAAAGAAGATCTGTAAAGTTGCAAAGACTAAAGTCTCAAATCCAAAGAGATATTCTTTATAAAAGTTAAGAGTCAACCACGCCTACCTAAAACGGCTCGTTCTAACACGCCCCCACATGTCTACATCACTGTGTGGGAAGATTTGCATAACACCACCCAAATGTTCACGCAAAGAAAGAAGGCGTAACTTTTATTCTCGCTGTAGTATTGTTGCCCCCGCCACCATGTCGTGAAGGCGCTGTGTGTTTCGTTGTGAAAGCGAAACTACTTTGTTTGGTCTTCCAAAAGAGGATGATATCCGCTTCGTCATGCCTAGAGCTGATCCGTGCTGGTCGCTGAGGAAATACATCAACTTCGCGCTGTCGAT